TGAAGCACGTTTGGAGGCTCGACGGCAAGATGAGGCGAAATGGCTTCTGTGTGCAGCAGTGTCTATGATCGTCGGGGCCCTGTTGGGTCAAGTCCGTGTCTGCCCGAAGGCGAAGTGGAAGCAGCTGGAGGCCAGTCGCCTTCAGGTTCAGGTTGAGCTGTTCCGGTGCCCTCTCTAGTTGCTTCTCTTGTGTTGACAAGGATCCAGGGTCCACTCAAGTCTTAAGTACTCGAAGCTCTGAAGCGCCACGCCTTCAGTCCAAGCCCCGAAGTCCGAATCCCCGGGCCTCGGCAGAAAGAAGCATCGACACCGCATGGTTCTCACGCTCGCTATTAGCGACTGTAAAACACTTCTCTTCTGCATGAGACAATGCCGCTCCGTTTCATCATCTATGTGGGCGTGTGTGTATACGTTGCGTAGGTATAAACACATACATACACGTATATGTACATACAGATATACGCACGTGTATGCATGCGTGCATACATACATTCATACACATATATAGTTTACATATCTATATATAGAGAAATATACATACATACATATACATGCACTTCTCTCTGTACATGCGTACAAACATGCCTTGTTGCAGGCCAAGGTCGCTGCAGTGAGCGACAGCGACGCTCCGCTTCGGCTTTGGGAGGCGCGAGCTGCGCTTCGGGTGGCTGTATATTGTAATGTATGTTTTTTTACATTGATGTAAACAAACAGACATTACAATGTACAGCATTCCAGTGGCCTCTGAAACTTTGCCCTGCCTTTGTTGCGGCGTCTCGGGTGATCGCTGTCGAAATTTCTGGTTTGAGCCCAGCCTAGCAGCTGGTGTCCACCAGCAAGCTTGACGACTTCTTCCCAGCAGATGTGGGGAAGACGATAGCAAGATACTTGGAGTAGGCTTTTTTGCGATTACAAAGCATGGTGGCATGGTAAAGTAAGTGAATTTTTGGGGGCCTCGACGCTCGAAGGTAAGCGAAACCAAAAGATGAAAAATGTGTGCATTCTTGTGGTGCTGGGGGAATCCCCCAGCACCACAAGAATGCACGGGAAGTGTGCAATGACCCTGCCTTGGACCACACCCGCTCAGTCGAAACGAACCGTGCAAGACAGCCTTCAAGCTTCGCATAAGTAGATAAATTTCGCAGAAAACGGTCTGTGAGGAACAACACTACGAGGAAGTAAAGGGATTGAGAGGTTCTCCCATGAATGTGCCGACATGCCTGTAAGCCAACACATATGCACACGTGCGTACATTACATACAGGTAGATATCATGTCATTGTTTCCATTCCCTTTGTTGTATCAGCTGTAGTGTGAGAGGAGGCTTCGCGAGAATTTGCAAGCACATGCGGTTGCTCCGACACGACATGAAAAGGGTGTCATGTAGAGCCTAATTAGTATTGCATGTCTTACTTGTGATCAAGGCTCCACCATCTTGTCGTAGCTGGCCTTTTCAACTCCTTCAGCTGCCTGAAGCAGAACCTAAAATGCTTGAAGGAGCTCTAAAGGAATCCAGTCCTGCAGCTCCATTTCTGGTCTGAAGGCAGAGTTGCCCTGGCCCTCGGGTACGGCCGAAAATCCACTCAATGTCGATGCCTCCGGGCATCCGAAAGTGGTGCCGGCCCCTGTAAGGACTCTTGTTGTGGTGAGGGGGCGGCGGGGCGGCATCCAAGACAATCTTGCCTGATGACAGTTTTCAATGATGTCACTCTGTGCGCTGCTTGTTGTTGTCAGTGTCAGCTTTCTTTCTTCCTACCTTGTTTAGACTTTCATGTCTGGTTCCAGTGCGAAAGCTTGTCGGGGTATAGGGCAGACTTTGGGAATCAACGGGTTGCGGTGCAAATGAAGCTCGACCATGACCGCATGATGCTTCAATGGGCATTGCCGTGAGGTCGGTTGCAGATTCAGCGACTAGCCGCTAGCCGGGAAAGGATGTATGGACTCCTCGAAACCCGCACTTTCTCGACGGGAACACTTTGGACGTGACTTGTGCAATGCATGCTTTGAACCAGCCGCAAATGTTGGTGTGTGGGAGATGCGGGCTGGGCGCATGAAGCTTTCGGGGCTCGGATGGATGATTAGATTAGATATACATCCATGCTTGTTGTGTGAGTCTCGGGTTCTGTGAGGCGTGCGTACGTGTTTGCTTTGCCCTGCTGGGGCATGGGGCTCGCAGCCTGTGGCGCGGAGGGTCGAGGTGGAAGACCCACCTTGAGCGTCACTCTTCACAGCAGCCCAAGCAACTCATGTTCTTCTCACATCCATGACCGATGCTGGCATCTGAGCCCTACGCCAAGTCGCTAAGGTTCGGTCACAACTCCGAGCAGGCCTGCTGAGGCGCCAGAAGCGTAAGACCATGAGAAACGGGAAACCCGGCGGTTCGGATCAGCTCAATGCTAAGGAACACTTACGCTTCCCTTACGGGGGCTGCTGGGTCCTGCAAGAAACCCCAGCGCACCCATCGAACCCCCTGAACTTACTTAGCCTATTGGAGAACTTTAAACTTTTTGGCTTCATATATTTGGTCTAGCTTAAAAAGTTTGAACTTTGTTTGGGCCTAGTTATTGGAGAAGAGAGTGAAGCCCAGCAGGAGTCTCAAGATCAAAGAAGCCCAAAGAGCACAGAAAGAACTGTCATTGCATGTGTCGAATATTCCCAGACCAGGTTTCAGATTTTGATGTCCTTCAGATTTCAAACCCTCGGCAGCTGGCATCCACTCCACCAAAGCCATGGAGCCAAAACATCCACGGACGACTTGCAGAAATCCAAGAAGCCTTGTAGATTCCCGAGTAACTTCCGTAGGCCGCTGCAGGGCCCGATGCAGCCACATACATCTCTGTCAACCTCCGCAAAGCCGGCAATATGCACAGCACGATAAAGGGCCCAGAAACCTGTTCAAATCCCAAAACCGTCCCACCAACAGAAGATGTTGGACTCTTGTAAATCTCTCAATAAGGAAAGCGTAGAACTCGTTGCAGATCCCTGCTTGGCTGCTCAAACAAACCGTCCTTGACAGGAACATAGATTTGTGACAGGTGGCATCCCGACAAGTTCGAGCAGCGCTTCGGGAGGCCTTGGCGTGTCTCTAAAGACTCAAAAGGTTTAAGGCTGAAGTCCTAGCCCAAACCTTATTCAAATCACTCAGGCCAAGATCCTTGATATTTGGACATATTGGTAGCTTGTGCCTCTTCCTTGTACAAAGTTGGCCCTGAACCAGTCCCTTTTTACAGAAAGAGGCTTCGGCCTCCGGCAGAAGACGACTGTGCAGTTGTGCTTTGTTTCAGGTGTTCTGCACCATCAGGCGTTCTTTGAACATAGTTCTGCGGAGGGACAGGCTTTTGCAAACCAACGTAGCCTGTTCCGGACCGCCATTGCTTGCAACACGGCATTTCATGTTACTACACATCCCTGTTGACCTGACCATGTACGACTTTCTTTTGTTTGCCATACCCACTCTGTGGCTCTTCTTGTTGTTGACCCCATCGTGGGCGCGACCGTGTCTATCATCAGCATCAGCATCGGGACAAGAACCGCCGTGAGAGCCGGCACCACGTTCATCATCAGTGCTGCTGGTTGAAGTCGCCATGAGCGCCATCCTAGCATTAAGCCACGTTGAGGCCCCTTGTCAATGCTCGCATGATCGCGTCACACCCTATGTTGCCCGTAGAGCCATGTAGTCTTGCGCTTCTTTCACGAAGAGTATGACCGGAAGACAGCTAGAACTTGAACCGTGGTCAGGTTTCTGCCTGTGGACGAGAAGGCAGGTCATTGGTTGAAGGGATCCACGGGGTTGTGGGCTCAAAGGTTTGGGCTTGCGGTTTGCATGCAGGATACGCGCGTACTCTACGAGGCCTAGACTCATCATCTGGCTGCTTCTCGCGGCTATCTTGCCTAGCAAAGGGCGGTGCCCGGTTAACTGTTTTTCTTGATGCCGCTTGGGCCGTGAAGGCCTGAATCCTACTAGCCACCTGACGGAAGAAAGCTTTCGCCCCAAATCAAAGCTCGCAGGTGCGTTCTTCCATCTTCGGCCGCGTAAAGGCAAGTTCAGCTGCGGAGTTCAGGGTTCAGGGTCATTGTGCCGGGCGAGAGAAGCCTGTTGCGAAAGGGTCATTGAAACCTCTGGGGAGACCAACAGTCTACTTGGAAATTCGCGGTTAGCTTGGACCTGGTTGTCTTGTCGTTGTAATCCTGTCAAAAGTCCTGGGTACAGTTGTCTCAGCAATAACCGTGGTTTGCATGAGTTTTTGGTAGGGCACAAGTGTTTTGAATCTCAGCTTCCCTTGAGGAGCACCCCAATACTCCGATGTTGCTAATTGCTTCTGCGCTTGCACGTTCACCTTCATCGGTCTACATGCCCGTGTACTGTGCACTGGCGGTCAGGCGCTGGCACAGCAGCTGACGCGTCTCATGGTGCCATGCTCAGCTGAATGATCGTGCGCCTGCGACTACAGCTGCGACTACGATGACGACAACGACGGCTACTACTGCCACGACAGCAGTGGTGTATTGGAGTTTGATTTCATTCCTGTAGCTACCAATGGTTGCAGCTGCCGTCGTCTCATCGTTATTATGCTCTTCTCGGTGGTCCAAGGCAGCGCTGCCTGAAGGCTGAGATGCGAGCAAAAGGTGCGTGCCAGTGCATCGTTGCGAAAGTACGAAGAAGCCGTGTTTGTGCTTGGGGCGTCGGGTCAAGCCAGAAAGCATTGTAGGCACCTGAGCCAAAGGTCGTTGTTGCCGGCCATTTGTAGCCGCTCTGGCTCGACACGCGGTCTTGAGACCCCTTGAGGACATCTCTTTGTGTTAGTGTCCTCAATGCGTTTTTCTGAAGGCCTGCATGTGGCCTAGGCCTAGGCTTAGGCCTAGACCCAGCTACATGTTGCACAATACATGTACACTCTTAGCAATATCTGTTTAGATGATGCACTGGACACTGTGAAGAAGGTCCTGCGATCTCTACTACATGCTTTGGACACCAATCCACTACAGATACCTGCCTCCCTCATGGCCTCCGAGCACACGGCGATCCCAGCTCACCCGAGCATCTTGCTGCTAAACTCGCGTCCCTGGCTCTACGATCTTCAGGCACTGCTGCCACACTCGATGCATTGACTGTTCTTGGTAACAGAGACGCCAGTGACTCCTGAGATTTTGCTAGTTTCAGGCTTCGGACATGCTAAAAACTCGGGTTTTAGCTTGATTCCTGGAAACTTTGCGTCGGGACCTCACCTGTGAGCTGGTGACAGGTTGAAGGTTGCTTGCTTGGCCGAACCATGATAATGTCCACCCGGACACCATCCGTTCTCGCAGAGCATCCATGGCCCAACCATGATAACGTCCACCCCGACCCCATCCGTTCCCACAGAGCATCCATGGCCCAACCACGATAACGTCCACCCCAACCCCATCCGTTCTCGCAGAGCATCCATGGCCCAACCATGATAATACTATGCAGAGATATCTTCCTCAACAGGGCCTCCTTCCGCAATGCTAATTTTCGTGTGATGTCGTCATCCGCCTAGAGTTTGCCCTAAACGCTTGGTTCAAAATCTGCCCATAAAAACCACTGTAAAACGCACAAAACGCCCCATCACAAGTGACCCCTGTCGAGGATCGTGCTCCTCCTGCCAACACGTCGTCCGAGCAAAATTAAAAAATTGCAGAAACCACGGTTTCGCGCACTTTTCGCTCTGAACACCGAAACATACACATGCAAACCGTCCGGATTCACTCGCCTCGCTGTTACCCTGTTATTGGTGTGGATGCGAGAGTTGTGAATCCTCAAGCGTTTGCATCCTTGCTGCTTTGCCTACTGCGGTCTGGCTGGTTTTGCGCCCATATAAGTGTGTATGCGACAATGTCAATGTGTTCTCTCTCTCTCTGTTTCTCTCTCTCCCTTGCCCTGGACCCTGCAAGTGAGCGGAGCACTGTGAGGTCAGCAGACTCAAGGACGTGACAGACGAGCAGCTCACGACGGCCTTGCTCGGTGGATCCGTGGATGTGTGTTGGCTTCAAGGCCCGAAGCTCTGCAAATGCAACATCCCAGTCGGGAGCGACTCCATATGTGGCCACAGCAGTGCGATTCGATGAAGAGCATCAAAAGCAAGCCTTGTTTGCTTGGGACAGTGGGCTGAGCCCTGTGAGGTTGCTGGGAGCTAGGCCGGGGCCCGCACTTGCTGTTGAATTGCCGAGCTGTGGGTTTGGGCCTTTGGGCTTCAGGGGCTGAGGATCGAGGGGGCAGCTCTAGAGTTCCTGATGATTGCCGGTTGCTGAGACTTGAACCCTTTAAAGGAACCCTTCCACTGCAGGCCCCTATGGACGCCAGCACGACCTTTCCGACCCCACACGTCGGCAGCACTTCCAAGACTGCCTCCCCGCACTTCGGCCACAGCTCAGCTATTTTTGCACGTCCAGCATTGCACCTTCGGCCATCGTCATGCCAGCATCCTGTCAGAGTATGTTCCTCTCATCCTTCGCGTGCTCCTCGTGCTTTCGTCGACGTCACGTCAGCAACCTTGGTGGGCAAGCGCGTTCATCGGTACAGCAGCGGCAGTCTGATTGCGGTTGTGAATTCCGCTTCCTGCAACCTGTCCATTCCGATGGCTGAGGACTTCTCTGAGGCTGATTGTATCGGTTCTCCTTACGCCATCAGCCGCTACACCTGTAACCCTCACCTGGGCACAGAGGAGCCGCTGAGCACAGCAGAAGCGTTGAGTCAGCATCTGAGAGCAGCAAGGGGGCATCTTTTTGAGCTGTCTCATCTCACTTCATCTTTGCAGCTTGTTTTTCGAGGAGGATCTGGCAGAGTTCCGGGCCCGTTTGGCCTCGCAGGGCGTGGCACTCATGCTGGACTTTGTGCTCCTCGGCGCTTTTTCTATACTTGCCGCAAGCACTTAGAATGTACGGCATTCCCGATATTCTGGGTGCTTCTACTTGTGCTGCGGATGGTACAACCGTTGTCGTCACTAGCGTTGCTAAGCTTTCTACAACGAAGTGCACCTAGTATCGACTAATGTCATGCTAGAGGATCTCCACCGCTACATTGGCCACTACTGGGACGACTTGTGCTGCTACTACTACTAGTACCACTGCTGCTAATACTGCTACCACTACTACTACTACTACTACTACTACTACTACTACTACTACTACTACTACTACTACTACTACTGCTACTGCTACTGCTACTACTACTACTACTACTACCACTACTACTACTACTACCACCACTACCACTACCACTACCACTACTACTACTACTACTACTACTACTACTACTACTACTACTACTACTACTACTACTACTGCTACAAGTAATTTGACTGTTAATATTTCCAACTGGCTGTTGTTATTAGTACTATTATTGCTGCTATAGTCATTATGTCCAATTGCAGTAAAAATAGAGTTTCCGTTATGATTACTCAGGCTATTACTATTGTTATTAGTACTGCTGCTGCTGCTACTACTACTACTACTACTACTACTACTACGACTACTTCGACTATTACTACTCTTACTACTCTTACTACTCCCAACTGGCTACTACTGCAGAAGAGCCTACGGCTGCTACTGCTGCTGCTACCACCGGTACTGCTGGGCGACGACCTGAATGACGTGGCATTTTCATGACGGGAAATGCCTCAGCCACATGAACACACGAAAGTATTGCCAGCAAAGTGGCAGCACCGAAAACTCCAGCGAACAGTTGTTGAACACTGCCATGAGAGAGCAGCCACCAGCTGGAATGACACGACACTGATTGCATTCGTTGCCTTCAGTTCGAGCATGATGATGGCGTCCACAGATGGCATGCAGCAGCAAGGAACTAAAGAAGTCCGTGAGGCCAAATCACATGGCAAGAGACAGCCCTTGGATCGACATCCCAGACCTGTTCATTCGAGGCCAAGAGATCTTCATTTGTTGGTTCGCTTGGGATATATTCTTGCCCAGCCGTTTGCAGAAGTCCAGTTAGATGGCTGCTTGCAGGTGTTTCAGCTCTGCACGTACAGGCCGTGACGGGAAAGTCGCCTTCGGCAAAGATCCGTATTCGGGCGACTGGACCGACACGGCTCAGTTGAACTACTGGTGCCTGGTCGCACACCAAGTGGAAAGACCCTTTAGATGCTGTACCTGGGGGAGATGAGTCTCCGTGCTCCAAAAAATCGCCATCATGCTAATGACAGCAGCGCGAAGAATCTAGTTGGAACTAGACATGACCGGACCAAGATCAGTTCTCCTTTCAACTTCTTCGCCATCGTTTGCCCAGGTCGACAGCGTGCAGGGACCACATGTTGCAGCAGCTGATGGACGTGGCGGAAAGATGCGACGGCATGCGTGTTGACATGGCCGCAGCCTGAAGCAGACGCGTGCGGTCTTCGATTCTTTGGCGTGGTTTCTCTCTGTCTCTCCCTCCTTCTCTCTCTTGCGATCTCTCGTCTTTCGGGTTGACTTCCTCGAGGCCATGCTCTGCGTGAACGACGTCATCGAAAGGCAGTGTTCAAGCATTGTGGATACCATTCGCCTGGGGTGTGGGGTTCGTTTGGGCTGGCGATGCGCGAAAGCAGTGCATTTCAAGCAGCACTTGACTGAACTGGCTGCCGGAGTCTTTCTTCTCACATCATTTTTCCTGGGCGTGGTTGTGGCGATAGCAGATAGCAACAAGAGATTCGCAGGATAGCAACTCGTGCGTGGTTCTCGGTGCTATTCTGTTCTTGCTCTTGAGAGACATCGTTAACACCTCACGCAGCTGTTTCAGCGTGTCATAGTCACGGCCACACACGTTGCCACAGGTTCCGAAAGCACTGCTCCCTGTACAAGCGTTCGACCGTTCGACCAATCACCACAACAACACAAGACTGTGGTTGACATAGGGTCACCAGAGCGACGGCCGAGCGCTAATAGCCCCAATCCCCAATACAATCGACCTCGCTACCGTCAGGACCTGGGGTCACCACCTCCGTGAGCAGGGCTTCCACCGGCCGGGGGAGGAGTTCTGGGTTTGGGCGCTCCCGCGGCTCCGCGCGCGTAGCTCAGACAGCATGAGAAAGGCTGACGGAAAAAGCCCATCAACGTAGACAATGCAGAAGCTGCCATACGCGATTGAAGACCCATAGGCCCATAGGTATGCAAGCATGCAGACACAAGTGGGTGTGTGTGTGTGTGTGTGCGTGCGCCCATGCCCAGATGTCCACGTCGAATGTGCATGCATTCATGCAAACATTCCCTCATGCATCCATACACGCATCTGCAGAGAGGCGCGCAAATATGAATGTGCGCTTATATTAATGATTGTTGTGCATTGATTTTGCATGGTCTGGACACGTTCCAAGAACAGGTCTTCGAAAAGATTGACCCGGTACCCCTGCCCTTCTGGACCAGGCTTGGTCATAGTAGGTTGTGTCTGCATGAGGCCATCCGAACTTCCTGCTTGTCGCGGAATGCTATGAGTACGACCCTTGTCGCATTGTGCCCCACCTCGCTGCAAGTGCTGAGTCAAGCCTCGTTGACGCGACGTTTCGTGAGAATGTACAGAAGACTCACCCCCAATGCGCATACTATCGGAATAGGAAGGTAAGGCTTCCAGAGTGCCGATATCTCCAAGCAGCAAAGCGTCACCGACGAGGAGTTGACTGACAAATTCTTCTAACACCCACGTGTATACTCTGTCGAGTACCTGCCTGATTCTGCCTGAGGATGAGATCCTGCCCAGCGGCACCATGCGTGAGCTGCTGCGGCAGGGCTTCAGCGCTGCATATGACAAAGTGCTTTATGACAGGCCCGACAACTGTCTGTTGAGTTGAGATTGGGAAGAGCTTGGCGAGGACACACACTCGCAGCTACATATCTGATGTGCATCTGTAGATCTCTGTATATACGTATATATACACACATACATACGGGCATTTACCTTGTCTCTAGTTTCTCGCTCCCTCTCTCTCTCTCTCTCTCCCTCTCTTTTTCGGCCCTTTGAGGCTGACAGAGGGGCACATGGACAAGCTCCGGGGTCACATCCTTCACAGCCCGGACATGGCCACAGGCCGCGCTTGAGTCTCAACTTCTACCTACAGGTCGTGCGAAGCTTCCCTGCTTACAGCGACGGCTTCTCAACCTAGAGTTGCGGGCTCTTCGTCGAAATCATTCAGGCATAGCATTGGCGAACGCGCTTAGCTTTCACAACCTTGTCGCCTTTGCTTTCAAAGCATATCATGGGTTGGCCTGGGCACATGGGACACACATGCTGCCATCGCTCGGGATGCTGCAGGACGTCTCTGCCACTTCACAGAGAATCACGACGAGGACCGACTTCCGAATCCAACACACATTGCTAGCTTCGGCAGGAATAACAAGCATTAGTGTCAGTATCATGACCTCCATCAGTATGTGAATCGTCGTCATCATCGCCGCCATCCAGCGAATCATCATGAGCCTTGCTTTCTGAGTTGTGACGTCCAGAAAGCTGGTTCCCGTCACACAACAGTCCGTGGATGAACATGGGTCTCGCGTGGAATCTTCGCATAGTTCCGTTGCAGATACATTTCGAAGAAGACAAGCAAAACCGATTCCGCATCACTGTATCATCCCTCTCAGCTGTGATCGAGCGTGGATGCTGGGGTCAGCCATCCAGATCCACTCGGCATCCGGAGGACCGCGCTGCAGCGCATTACGGGCCCCGCTCATTGGCGGCGACCGTAGCAGCGCGGACTGTAGTGACTTGCAGTAGGGCAGGATAGTACGACAGAAGATTCGACCAGAAGAGGCATTTGATAACCAGAAGAGGCTTCTGCTTCCTCTAACGACCCCTAAAAACTCGAGCTCGAAACGGCGAAGTCCGAGGCCTCGCTGTCTCTTCCGGGCCCACGCCTCCTCATGTGGGGCCAGGCGAAGGTATTGTGCAAAGCATCCAACCTCCAGGCTTTACTAAGACAGTCCAAAACCCAAGAAACCTTGGCAGGAATCTAGCGAACCCGCTCAGCCCTAAGCCCTAAGCCTAAACAGCTTGGCTGGAAGCGATCACCCTGCAGTTGGCTTCTTTCCCTGTTTTCGTTGTTGCTACAGCGGGAGCGAAACAGAACCGATCGCCCAAATCCTAAACTGCACGCAAGCGGCTCCGGCAAGTTCACTCCGTGGAGGCTCTGGGGCTCCGGGCACGGCTCGCTGTGCACCTTCGCAGAGCACGCCAAGAGGCACCCAAAAGAGACAGGAAAAGCCGAAAGAAGCCCTGATTCAAGATCTAACTTTCGGATTTTGAAATTATGGATCTGGATTTCGGATTGAACATGTAGAAGTCTGGAAGGTAGGGAGGGTCGAGGGCTCACTGTGATTTTCGCCTGGATCCTTACTTTAGGATTTCATAGCTGCATGGACGTCTTCGCTGGCTTGTTCAAGGTTTTCGTGTGGCTCTTGTGGTTCCGGTCGTGTCTATTGTAAGTGTGGTGATTTGCTCAAGCCTGTTCCATTCGCATTCGCACTGTCTTCCATGGTTCACTATCGAGGTGATTCTTGTGTCGTCGCCGTTACGGATGCGGGAACCCACCCCTTCTCGGCTTCAGGGCTTCCTGGAGTCCTATGGCGCTTGGGCCGCGGAGTTTCAGAGCTCTGCCGGCTGTAGAAAGTCCAAGACGGCCCCTGCCTGGTTCCACCCACGTCCAACAGACCCAAAAACATCGATTTCTTTGAAACCTGCGAGGCTCCGGATTCAGCTCTTTCCGCTATCTGGCCTCGGCTGCTTGCAGCGCTGCCACACTGCCGGGGCAGCTGGCAGGCTCTGCTTTCAGCTCCCGCCCTTTAGATTTCGGGCTGCTTGGGCGTTGCTGCCTTTACTTTGATCTCAACACATCTGGTTGCTTCTGATAGAGTCCAGGACTACCACAATTATGATGGTTGCCACTGCCCTTACTGCTCGCTCGTAGTTGTGCTTCGGTTACTATCTGAACCTCGCTGGGTGCTGAAGTAGGAGACTGGATAGCATTTGACAGCACGCTGGATCTATTGTGGTTCCTTGTTGCTTGTAGCATGAAGCCCCAAAAAACCGAAGTCTACTTGTTGAGATCCCGACCTGTCGCAGGCGAGTCTGCCTGTGCATGGGGACGACTCTTGGAGGCTCAGTGATTGAATGATTTGCAGAGGGTCTGGAGCACTGCACCGCAATTCAGACTTGAACGACAAGCTCAGCCGGTCTTTGGCCCACCCCCAATGCACACACAAACCCTCTGCGCGGAGTTCCAGGTTCCTTGCGTGGGGCTGGAAGCCGGATGGTGAGGCGGGATCCACGTACGACCTCAGGCGCTTTTTCTGATAAACACGATCCTTTGAGTCCACAGGATTGATTTCGTAGTCTGAGCTCAGGCCGCCAAGTCAGAGGTGGTCGCTTGCATCGTCGTCGTGCAACTTGGCTGCTGGCCGATCCTTCAGCCGATTTGCCGGCACCGAGCATGAGACCTTGTAAGGAACTTCACCGATTCGGCGGGCTGGGCCACATTGAAGCCGCATGCCTGCAGAGCATATCCGCAATGACAGAAGCAGGAGCACTGCTATTGGTGTGACAACAACAACCTGTATTGCTCCATCTGCTGTTGTGACACAGGCCCCTACATTCGGCATCCTCGTTCATGATGTTATTTGCCTCATCCCCCATGCATTCTTCCCTGCTTGCATTCCTGGATACTCCGCTCAACACATTCAATCTGTCTGCAATCCGGCCAACAACACCTCAAGCCGGCCCCGAAGCTGCTTAAAAGACCTGTAAATCGAAGCAAAAAAAACGCATTTCTCCAAAGCTTCCCTGAGCATGAGAGTCGGAGGGGTGCCAAGGGAAAACTTTGGATTCTGTTTAACAGGGCTGTTTAATATCGGTACGGTGCGGTACTGCCTTGCTGCGGTATGTTGCGGTATGTATTGCGCGGTGTTGCGGGCTGCCGGTTCGCTACGCCCACCCCTCCACCCCACCCCCGGCCACCCCCCTCCAGAGATGGAGGGGACATGGGGCGGAGGGGCGCAGGGACGTGGGGGGGTGGAGGGAGGGATAAGGGGGGTGGAGTGGAGGTGGAGGGGTGGGGCGCGGAAGAGTGGAGGAGTGGAGCGGTTGTCATCGGTACGCAACGTTGCTGCGCGGTTCGGTGCGTGACGGTTCGGCGCGGTACTGCGAAATTGTATTGTTGAAACGGCCATGCTTCGAGCACAGCATTCAAAAAGCGCCCGACCCATAGAAGTGTCTTGAACGAACTCTCTACGCCCATGATGGAGTCTCGGCAACATCCTAAGCTCCTAAAGTCTGAAGCGGCCCGCTTTTCTCTGAGAGGTTGGGAGCACTTCTCCCGGGATCTCCACGCAGCGACTCGCTGGCCTTGAAAGATGCCATCGGTGGAGAGGCCGTTGCGCCGTTGCTTCAAAAAAACGCTTCAGGATTCTTTGGGTCATAATCTGGTTTTTGTGGAAACTTGCTGCAGTCGTGGGCTTACTGCAGAGCACAGTGAGCCCCAGGCTCGCGGGCCCGAAACTCATGAAACCCTGGGCGCGCACTTTTCACATCTCCTTGCTTGTGCAAGCCCCGATCTCGAACTTAGCACTTCGGAGCCGCTTTGCGATTCAGACCTTCCGGCGCAGCTGCAGCGCGCTGAACAACGAGGGCCTCGTGGTAGGCCGGGCGTTGTAGGATCTAGAGTTTAGGGTCGATGGCTCACGCAGGAGAGGCTTCAGGGATTTTGAGTGGTCACCAGTACAGGCCTCCAAGATTTTTCCCAAATGTGTGTGTTTGTAGAAGATTCGAAGGCTGGGAAGGTCGTAGCGAGCATGCCCTGATGTAGTGCCAAGAAGGAGCTAGGACCTAGGAGAGCAGGCGATACTGCTCGCATCCCTGCCCTCAAGCCGGAAGCCTGTCTGGATGCGCAGGCTTACAGCCCTACCAGTCACACCTACTCCTCTGCAGCTTTCAATGAGGAGGGCTTCGGGTGGAGTGTTTGAGGGCAAGCTTCAGTGACAGTTGTTGCCGACGACTTGCTGAAATGGAAGCAAAAGTGCATCCGCAAGTGTCGCGATGTGTGCGCCTCGTCGCTGTCCCTCTGGCTTTCTCTCTCTGTCTCCCGTCATCTCTGCACCTTTCTGACTGCTTTAATGTCAAGCTACGGTTTCGAGACACATGTGACCAAATGTTCCCTGGATGATGGCGCCGGCTCAGTTTCAGAGTGCCGAAGGACACGCTGAAAGTCTCGTTTCACGCGTTGCGTTGCAGCGCCGAATTCGTTGGAAGGCCTTGGAACTCCCCCTTGTGCAAGGGTGACCTGTGCATGTCTAGAGTCCCGAGTCGGTTGAAGCTTCCTGAAGCTCACAACTGTACAGAACTCGCTTACGGTCAGCGTGCGCTTCAGCGACCTGAGAAGCGTTGGTCCATCGTTTGAGAACTCTTGCAGCCAGGGCCAGGGGGAGCTTCGTCTCGGCGCCTTTGAGCCCCGAGCTTCCGAGGCTTCCAGCGGTCTTTTGAGCGCCATGTCCCGACCCGCCTCCGCTCCTTTCCGCCTCCGCCGCGCCAACTCCACGACGGTTGCAGGGCAGAGGCGACTGAGTGCACAAAGGAGCCACAGAAGTCAAGTCATGAAAATGCAGATGTTTCGGCTTCTACCAAGCCCTTGTCGAGCGCAGCTCTTTGTGACCCATCCAGGTTTGAAGTCTCAAATAAATCTTCGGCACAAAGCCGTGACATATTTGTCAGTATTCAGCAGACAGATCAAAAGTCAAAGCGGGTCAACGACGTTTGAGTCTAACAAGTCCGTGTGCTTGGGCGTAGAAACTCCGTTCATCCCCCGCATCATTCCCGCACAGGTTTTTGCTCAGACTGTAAAACCTTCAATGCGGTTCTCAAACCCTGACCACAAAACACCGAACATCCAAAAAAACTCGCGATAAAGCTTTGGGATCGGAGCATCAGGCAACCGAGCTTAGACCACGTCTTACGAGGGATTCTGAACCATGCTTCCATGCACCTTTCAAGACCTTTCATGGTGGAATTTGGTGTTGCCCGGCCGAATGTTTCAAGATTGTGCAGACCTTTGGCCAAGACAGCCCTGAGCAACAGAAATCCCATAGCTTAAAGAGGTGAACCTGCGAAAATATGACATCTTTGTAGACTTGAAAGAACAGAAGGCTGCATCATGTGTACTACGATGCACTCATATGAACTGTTTGAGGCCTGCATATGCAGTATTGTGTTGTATGTGTTTCTGCTATATTGCCACAACCCCTTTTATCACACTTACACCTGCGCCTGCAGCTCAGCGTTTGCATCTACAGCACTGTTTGTTGGGTCTGTTGTTCTCAAAACGCTCTCCGTGTGTCTGCCTGCCTGTGTGAAGCCTCTACAGGCCACCGGTGGTGCCGCGGAGGCCAGTGCTCCAGCGGGCACGGACTGCGCCAGAGGTGCAGTTCGAGGTGGGCTTTCGTAGAATCTAGAATTCAGTTCTGGGTGTTTTCGGATCCAGGACATCGCTAGGTTCTAGGCTTCAGGGATTTCGGTGTGTGGGGGATAGATTACAGTCCTGGATGTAGGCTGAGGGTCGAAGGTGTACAGGTAGGACTAACACGTAAGGTTAAGGATGTAGGATTCGCCTGGGCCAGTATCGTAACATCAGCACAACTTGCCCGTTTTATGAACCTGACCGTTTCTTTCTCTACTGTCCTAATCCTGTGGTTACTTCTGTCATGTGTGGTGGCATCGACGTGGTTTGTCTTGGTTGCGCCCTTTGTACAGCCATGTTCGTTTCATTCGTTTGCTTGCAGTCTTTTCTGTCAGCTTTCCCCGTGAAGATGAACATCTTTGATGCAGAACATCTGGACAAGCTTCCAGCGCTTTGCAACCAACCCCGATAGGAGCATGCATCATGTAGGCTTTGCCATGCCTTACTCAGGGTTTCGTCTTCGCAAAGGATATTTTGTGTTCATCGCTCAAGTGCCGCTTTGCTTCCTGACCAGCTTGATGTGGGCAGGTTCCTTTCGCCCGAGAGCTGCTTAGCACAGAGGACGACATAACTGGAGACTCTGACTACTAGGGCCTGGGCACAGATGCAAGGTCTCAGCTTGCATCTGATCATGTGGCGTAGTTTGCTGCAACGCCCAAAACGTGTGGTAGCACGCCTTCTGCGAAGGCCCGTTCCCAGCCTTGGCCTGTCGCTAAGTGGCTATACTTTCCAATTCAGACACCAAAATAAAGCATCGTTTTTCCTGTCAAAAGGCGGCACCTGCTCTGACTTACCAGGAGCCTTTCGCGGCAATAGAGGACGTCGCCCCAACTTCACCCGTGACCGCTGCCATCGAGAGGCCCCTGTAGCGAGACGATGTTTGCAGAGGTTGATGTGGGATTCATGTAGTGGCCGATGTAATGATGGTTCTTTTGCTAGGTTCTGCGAGATGTTACCCAGTTATCTGTCATGCAAGGCCTTAACAGCATGATCAGATTCGCACAGGGCGTTGCTACCCCAACTCTCTCCACAGCGCAACCCTGCACCCGACAAGAGCAGAGTCAATGAAAACCTCATGACTGCATGAGCAAGACAGCAACGATTGACAGCAGCCCGCACCAGTACGAGCAGCGCAAGTACGTAAATGCAGGATCATAGGGGCCATAAGAGCCAGCAAGAAGCCGAACTGGCACAACTCGCTGCAAGACGCATTGCTCAAACAGGGTACTTGCTGGAGTTTGCTTTGTCATGCTTGTCGCATCATCACTGATCATGTCGTGTCCGCGGAGACGGTTGATCCGACACCAGATCAATGTCAAGAGTCCTACTGATTCCTTCTCCCAGCGGCCCCTTAGGCCCAAAAGACACACAAACTGCGGATGATAATCCTAGAATACCATAATACTATAATGCTATACTATACTACCATACTATCTATACTATACTACCATACTATCTATACTATCTATACTACTACCTGTGGGATTCTGAAAAGAAACTCCGCCCTTTTTGCGAGGCACCGAGGCTCCGAGCCTCAGGTGGCGGTGGTGCGAAGCTGGGCTTTTGGATCATTTTTATAAAACTTCCCTTACTTATTTCCTTATAAAGGGTGTAGAGTTTAGGGTCTAAAGGGCTTATTTCCTTATAAAGGGTTTAGGGTTTAAAGGGCTTATTTCCTTATAAAGGGTTTAGGGATCAAGGGTTTACAGGGCTTATTTACTGATAAAGGGTTTAGGGTTTGAAGGGCTTGTTTCCTTGTAAAGGGGACCTATTCATAGATAGAATTTTCAAAGGGTTTAAAGCACAACCCAGGAAGGGTTCCCTTGGGCCGCCCAGCCTCCGCGGGGGATCTCCGCCTTGCGGCCCAGCCTTCGGCGGCTCGAAGAAGTGGGGTCAAAAGGGGGTTCAGGATTTCCGGTTATGAGGATCTTCTTCCTTTTGTCTTTCATGTTAAAGATTTGTAGGCTTGAGGGGGTAAGGGTTCGGAAGTTCGGTCGCTGCTCTATAGGCTTCGCATGTTGGCTTCTCAAGTTCCGGTAGTTTGCGCATTGAGTTCTCGGAATAGCGCTTGAGCAGCATGGCCTTTCCTGCCCCTTCCCCTTATGAATGTTTGAAGTATGGTGGTGGTGGTATGGTGGTGCGGCCTCCGTGCTGATTTTTGTTGAGTTGTTCAGGCCACATTCCCAGAGCTTTCGCTGGCAAGCGAGCCTTTGAAACAGTAGCAGCCCGGTGCCTGTAGGGGTCATCCAAAAAGTAGATCCCTTAATGGGGGTTCCTATTTATATAGTACCCTTAGTAGTATAGGGCCCTCAATGAGGGATCTACCTGTTTGTGACGACCGGTCGCATGGCTTGTGAAGGTTAGAAGTGTTCGCTTTGTTCGCAAATTTGCAAGGTCAACCAAAACACCACGGGCACCAATCGACCACAGCTAAGAAGGCTGGGAAGTGGAATAGTGCATGCCACGGTTACCGCCCATCCGCGAACATGTCGATCAGGAGGGGTTTTTAGTCTTCAGAGGTGCGGACCGGGAACAGCAGCTGGGTTTTAGTAGCACTGAGGGTTCAATCATGGAAGACGCAATTCGCTCTGTGCAGGGCGCAGACGACAGACGTGGACACAAACGAGAAGGCACGCATCGTGGAAGGTGTCGACTCTGCCGAGATGGTGGGACTGATATGGATGACGACGACGAAGGTACAAGGGATGCTCTGACGATTGTGCTGCTGACTTCAGCGGTGTGAGCTTAAATCTAGCACTTCGGACGTCAGCATCAGAAAGGAAGATTATAGAGCAGCATGGCAGTGGAACAGACACTTGTTTCTCGCATCTAGAAGTAATGTGTGCAAAGAGTCTGAAGAAGCTACTGCTCAGCCACGCTGGAACAATCCCGAGCCACTGTGTCTTTGTCATGTTGGTGTTTGAAGCCAATGCGAGAGGGAGGGTTTGGGCTTCCAGCAGGTGGACGTGCAGCTGCGGCGACTGTCGCGAGAGGAGTTCGATCAACGCCGGGCCAACGCAGTCAACTACTTCAAGGAGCCATGCCCGTGTTTGCATGGGAACTGTTCCCAACAGCTCAAGGTCTTGGTTCATTAGACAACTCGCAAAAGGAACTCAGTTTAAAACCATGCCACATGCTGGAAGCTTCATGAACCTCCTCACACTAAAACTAAAGCATCGATCACGTCTTGCAAACGACAAGGCAAAGCATTCGGCTTGCAAGAAACACAAAGAAATGCCTGAGCCGAGGAGTCCACGGCCATCAATCAACTCAGTCGCTTCTCCGAGGCGGGCCCAAAAGGAAGGGTTTCTTCACCGAACTCGCTGCAGCCGCCCGAAGTAGCGCCGTGCAACGACGGGATTGTGCTTAGTTTTCTGGACCCTCACCCTTTCATCAGCCTTCACAGCTTCGGCTTGATTTGAGACATCAAGCCGGCATTGTTGCATTTCCAGCAGTAGATGTCTCTAAATTGGGATCTTGTGTGGGCTGCAGCTGATCAGACAGCTCCCCGATTGGGCCGTGGCAGCAGCTGCTTTTGCATGGCATGGCCCATGGCGCTTTGTCACTGTCCTTGCTTTTGTAGAGACTTATTGCAAAGTGCGTTGACGCGTCCCAGAGCGGCCTGGAGCCCAAGTCCCCAACCGGAGAGGCTTCTGCGGCCCTCGAAGCTGCCCGCAGACGTCGCGCTAACGACCGAGCAGCCGCTTCGATGCAGAATGCCGGGGCTGGATGTTTTTCGCGCAGTCGGATGAGCATCTCTCAACTCTCAACCAATGTCCCAAGATCTTGCAGCTGTCAAGCCACCGAAGATTGGTTTGGCCACAGGCAGTGACTAAGTATACCGTTTACGCCACACTTTCTGTGGCACGTGGGCCTGCTGAGCAATGCAATGTGGCTGTTCGTTTCACACGCGTCACAGTTGCAAGATGTACTGTAGAGGTGGGATGATAAAAAGCACAAGACTTCTTCAAAGCTTCGTCTTGGTGCTCGGCATGACTACTATTTGCTTAAGAAACCACCAAAAAATAAAAAATAATAATCCCGATATTACCCCCATAAGGAATATATTCTTTATTTTTTGGGGGTTCTTAAGCAAATAGTAGATGAGGTAAAGCCAGTGGCGGTTCCAGAAGTTTTGGAGGCCCGAAACTCGGCACACCTGCAGTGCTCAAGAGAAGACTGTGTACCAATGGTGTGCCCTTAGCAAGAAGAAGCATATGCAAAGGGAGGGAGTCAAGGGTCAGAAATTGTTCTGTGATAATGACGACGCAGGGAAGGAGGCCTGTCTTTTGATTTAGACCAGAGACTGTGAGAAAAGCTGGCTGACCTACAGACAGAGGCCCTCTGAATGAAGCACCATCCGGAAAACATAAGCAATAGCTTCTGTAACAGCCGTCTGGAGGAGCCTGTCCCGGAAGCACCGACTGTTGCACCTGCGCCCCGCCGCCGGAGCTTTGCAGAGCAATTTGGATATGGCCAGGGGCTTGAACACGCTTTTGCGGACTTTGGGTCCTGGGAGAATGTTGCAGCCCGCTTCTCCTGCCCAAACCAAACCTCTGTAGTTCTAGAGCACATCCCAATCCAACGAAGTGGCGCCTCCTGCAAAGTGTGGCCTGCTGTGACCCCTGCGGGCTCTTCATACGAGTGAGGGGTGGAACAGAGATTCGGATTCTTTAGCCGCCGATTCTTTGACATGGCTGCTTGTTGGTGTTTCCTTTCGGATGTCTTATCTTTTGCCATTGCTGTTTTGCTGTTGCAGTGGTTGTTGGTGTTGATGGTGCCGATGCAATTGTGCCGTTTATGTCGCCTAAACCCCAATCTTAATCCTTGAACTTGAAGCCTACAGCCTGGAAGCAGCAAGCAGATTCCCCCAGCAGATTCCTCCCTGGCTCTCGCAGGCGTGATTCTGAAGACCACGCCGACCGAAAGACAAGCACAAGTCTTGCCCGAGCCACCCAAGCCCAAGATGAACGGTGCCTTCATTAGCAACTTGGCTTGTGCTGAGATGGCTGCTGTCGGGCAGCAGCAGCATCAGTGTGCTACTGAATACCGAACTCGTGCTAGTTCCCCCACTTTCAGTTTGCATCTCTCCGCCATACACCATCAGCCAGCATTCCCGCGTATTGCCTGCTGTAGCAAGCCAGACCTAGCAACGCAGCAACTGTAGCAAACGCGCAAAAGAGTCAGAGGAAAACGGTAACGCCGGGGTGCAAGCTTTGCACAGGGGCAGGATGGCTGGTGCTATGCATGGCCGAAATATCGCGACAAGCAAACTCACTAGCCATACCGATGAATGTAGAGCTCCAGCACCTGACAGTTTCGAAGGCCTCATGAAGCGCTGCAAAGGTGGAACGATAGGAACAGTAAGAGCAAGACTGGTGACGGTGATCAGGTTTGGTGTTCTGTTTGTAGCAAGGAATCACTTACACCCAAGGGTGACCCTCCACATGCAGCTCTTTTGAAGGCCTGATGGCAGGGGACACCGATTTGCTTCGGCGCCTTGAGCGACGACGCCGCGCGGCGTCACTGGGTGCCTGACGAGCAAGGTGATGGTCAAAAAAATGGCGGCGCTGGTCAGGGCGAGGTGAGATGTCCGGCACATTGGAAGGTAGCGTGCAGAGTAGAAGATGAAGCAAGTCGCAGTGGTGTTGTAGATGCTGATAGTGAAACCCCCATCCCCTGCTTCAGCCGAGCTTCCTTTGGCTGCTGTCATGCTCAAGCGGCGAAGAAAGAAAGCTTTGGGCTCTGGGCCAGCTTGTCATCCATGGCATCTGACTCCTGGGACTGGGAAGAAAAGATGCGTGAGCTCGAAGTGAGACTTCGGGATGAGTTTCGAATCGAAACCGCGAAGGTTCTGGCGAAGGTAGAGCGCCTGGAATCGGAGCTGCGCCTCTCAAAAGAGACGCTCCTGCACATCTCCGAGCCCGCGTCCTGGAGCCCTGACAGCGCAAATGGAGAGCTAGAAGTTGAAGTTGAAGACCCCTCAAAGCAATGGGCACAAAAGGTGCAGCCACAGGTTCCCAAGCCTCAAACACTACAGGAATCGAAACCCAAAGAAGAGATGAAAGAGACTGGGCCGAGTGGGTCGCCGACGGATGAAGCTCAAGAGCCGATCCCTTTCACAGAGTCGACTTGGAATCTGCTTCTCGTTCTGGGCTTCACAAAGGCTGGCTGGATCGACATTGTGATTGGCTGTGGTGTCTTCGTCGGAAGTCTTCTGCTGCAGGGAGGTTTGTGCTACGTGCTTCTAACCGGCGACTTCCTGGGAAAGCCACTGACTCGCGAGATCGAAGTGGCGAAAAGGTGGAGAGCTGGGACTGCACATGATTTCAAGCATCTGGACATCGCAGAAACAAGCCTTGTGTCGCGCGTGTGCAACGGAGATGGATCTCTGATCATGTCCACGCAGCAGGCAGCCTTCATCTCACAGCTGAACACTTACCTCGGCATGCAAGCAAGTGATTTGGCTCCGGAAGGCATTTGTCCCGGGAGTGTTCTTTGCGTGCTTTGTATCTCTTGGTGGTGCCTCTACCTGGGCAGAGAGTACCGGCAAATCTTCTCATCAATGGAAGGCTGGGCCTTTTGTTGCAGCTATTCGGGTTTCAACATCAACCGCAGTCTTGCTATCCTTTTCCTATCCTTGCTGTCATTGTGTCTTAATCATGTGGCATGTCATAATGCTAACCATCACCCCGCGCATGTTGCATGCTCCATACTGTTGCATCTTGCAACCCCATCCGCGAGACTCAAGCACCTGAACCTCAATCCTGAAACCTGAAACCTGGGAATGGGAGCCTGAAGAAGGCTTGTGGAATGTGCCTCGGGGGTCCTCCACCATTCTGGAGATGGGAGCCTTTCGGTCCGTGTCATTTCCGCGGTTCTTCCTTTTCTGCACAGCGCGGCTCTCGAAGGCTGCTTGGCTCTGTCAGCATATGGTTCTTCAAGGGCTCTGGAGATGGGAAGCGATGGGAAGCAATACACTTCTTGCTTGTTCTGTGGAATTACCGCATAGTGCAACGCAAGAATTACGGGGCTTGTGTGTGCGATCGGCCTACCCCCAGGCTGTCATCTCCAGCCTTTTGCTTGCCGCGGGCATCCAATGGCTGGTGAACACCATAGCCATCAGGAGCATAGTTCTCCGAGCTGTCGCCTTGAAAAGCCTTTTTGAGCTCGACAGCGTGTTCTACGCGGCCTTCATGCCGAAGCAGCTCCAGGTGTGTATGAAGAAACTAAAGCCCTTGCAGTTTCGCAATTCTTCATGCCGGAGCCAGATTGAATCCCTTCTTCTCCTGTTCTTCTTCGTAGTCGTGATTTTCGGAAGCTGGCATCAGTTGGTTGACCCAATCGGTGTCACCATGGAAGGTATCAAGACCGAGTACTGCGGTGGAAACCAGAACTTTGTGGTCGCCGTAAATGATGATCACGGTTTGGCAGTCGGCCGGTCGACTATGCCCTTTGATCCCGCTCGAGCCGAAGACGAGATTGAGAGTGCCGTCTACGATTATGCATTCAAGTCAAACGAGAGCAACCTTATCTTGTTCCACACCTCGTCACGGAGCTTTGAGAAGACGCGAGTGGAGACCATGGCGACGGCCACCACTTCCACCCTGCAGTGCGCCAACTTCGACCTGTGGTTCCTTCGCGGGGAAGACCAGCCGATCCCCGACACCTACGGACCCTACTTTTGGTCTGCGGCTTTGTCCGTTGGCATGCCTCCAAACAGCACATGTGAGGAGCCGCGGATGCTTCCTTCGGCTCTTTTTCTATGAGTTTTTTTCTGCTGAATTGACGATCGTGTGTCGATTTTGTCGGGCATACACTTGGACTTCTCCTCAGCATTCTGGTTATACATGCTCTATTTCGTTATCACACGTCAGGACATGATCAGCCATTGTGCCGATGTCGACGCACAGCTCCTGCGCATGGTGTGCGGCGTGACCTGCGGTTGCGTTGAACCACAGGCAAGACCCTCTGTGAGTGCTGGATGGTGCTTCGCAGTATGCTTTCTGAATAGAACACAGCATAATTAAGCAAACCACAGGTTATACCAATCAAGCAACAAGTAGCTCAGCCATGAAAACCCATCGAAAGATCCTGACGAGATGTTGTAGTCCGCCATGGTGCTGCAGCAGTGCGACTGCAAGTAGGCGACGAGATCAGCGAGAATCGGCATGTGCATACCGGGATAGTGGTGCGTCTCTATGCTGCACAGTTGCACACGACCGAAACCGCCAAGCATCAATGCGCATCATCTCAGCTGATACAGGCAGCGTCTTGGGTCTTGGATACGGGCAGTGACCAGTTGTGGTTTAGCGCGTGCAGGGCCTGAGACTCCCAGACTTCCCGAAGCACGGAACTGAGACTTTGAGAGGAAGGCAGACGAAGGGAAATATGCACTTCTGCAGATTTTCGTGCAACGAGCAGATGAGCGAATTCCCTAACAGATAAGTGCTGCTAGCCATGGCGACTGTTGTAAGCACGACGACGGTACTGCATCATAGTCGTGGAGCCAGCAGGCGAGATGTAGAACAGCATGCAGTTGAACTACGTGCATACGCAGCTTCTGGTCTACGGAAGACATGAGACCCTTCCACAAAGATCCGAAGCCTTGGGGCAGAGCGTACCGACAGAGTTGTGCTGCAGACTGTCGAGAGGAGCGCATATTAGCATATTACAATTTCGCAGCCTAGACCCTGAGCCCGAAACCCTGAAACCACAAGTTCCGACAGGCCAATCCGCTGTACAAGGTTCGCGCACAAGGATGCTTGAAGAGTTGCACTTGGACTCGGATCAGTGTGCTTTTCATGTTTGCTGTTGCAAACCTCAGGCCCACAGTTGCGGAAGCTGTCGAGTAAGTTCTGGGTTCAAAGTCTTGATTGAGAGTCTACACAGTCCTCCAGCGGTCTTGACCCTTTGGGACGCCATGCCAAAGCTTCTAGGACTCTAGGAGATCCTCCATTGACTCAGTTAATCCTGCAGCGGTCTGGAAAAGAAGCGAAGGTCTGGGTGAGCTGCCGATCTGGGTGGTCGATGAAGCCTGCGAGGACGTAAGCGCGGACTTTGAATCTTGGCAGTCTTTCTGGGACATGTAGCTTGGCATATTGATCCCGATAGAGCATTCCCGCGTTTTGACTTCGGATTGTGGCCGTGGCTTTGTCCCTTCTGCTCCAAGGTACCCCACGGCCATGCAAGCGTATTTTGGTGCCACGCCGGAGCAAGTATTTAATCTCCAAGAGGTGGCCCGCGACATGAAAGGAGCAGGGTGCCCCTATTTGGCTGAGATGACCCATGAGGTGGGCCTGTCTTCTTGTCAGCTTTCTGATTTCCCGCGCAAATGTCATTGCGAAAACTTGAAGACAGGTCATCACGGACACGCGATACTGTGATGGACATCCTGAGCTGTTCTCCCCCTTGAGCCTTCTTTGCCCTAAGACTTGCTGCACTAGCAGCAGCATGTTCTGCCCTTTGAGCTGCGGCGCTTAAAGCGAGGCAAGCAGCACACGAAGCAGCTTTGATGGTCTTCCTGTGTGGCCTTGCAGGCTAATATCTCATCCCTTGCAGAACTGAGCCCAGTCCTGTTAAACCCCTTCCAAATCCCATGCCACCTGGATGATCATGCTGCGAGTTGTACACCAGAGACCACGATGCGGTTTCCAAAAGACTAGCGTCCAGAGCAGATCAAGCCAAATCAGAAACATTGCGAACATGATTGCTTGCAGAGGATCAGATTTCAATCCATAGTTTCTCAGGTCCTACATCGGCTTCCATGCATTGCTAAGCTTTGATTGTGCCACGAGCCGCTGGAACCGAGTGGTAAGTTCCCACATCCCGTTTCGGGCCATGGGCCATACCTGTACTTCAAGAAAGATGGCGTCCAGCCGCTTGACGAGCTCAGAGATGGGGATGGCCTTTTTGCTGCTGAGAGAGCTGCAGGTGCTTTCAGAATGTTGCACCGAAAATCAGTTGTCGGTGCTGAGGTGTGGATTTTGCTGCTGGGAGCGAACAGGACTGACCATTCTTGATGCCAACTGCATGCTTGTACGTGGGCAGGCGGCGATGCGCAGCTGCAGGGGCTGCAGAGAGATTACACTTCTATTTTGTTGGCATCTTCATTCCACTCTTGACTGTCTCCAACATAAGCGGCCACTTTGCAAATTTCACATCGCTTCCAACGAAGCTCGAGACAGGGCGGATGAAAAGGGGCCGAAACCTAGTGTAAAGCTCTCTTGACCCGCGAACTCATCTCGTGAGACGAGGTGTTCAATACAAATACTGCCATGATGTTCCCGGCTCACTCCCCGGGGACCACGCATAGCGAGAGCGAGGGGATCTCAAATTACTGTTGGAACTTCGCTAAAAGAGTCGCAGAGAAGTGTCTATAGTCGAGTTTAAGAAGTTTAGCGGGGCGCTGTCGAGTCCTTGACAGAATGGGTTTTGAAGGCGGTCAACTTCGTGCCAGCAGCCAGTACAACCTCAAGCAGCATCAGTATTTCCAGCCTGCGAAGCCATGTGTTTTCGGATGAGTTCATTTCATGTGCTCGGTGCGGTTTTTGTCGTGCCGTTCCACGCTGCTGCATTCCGTGAGGTCGCCAAGAACCTTGAGCACAGTGGGGATTGGGACACCGCAGATCTTTGCGGAGGCGAGTTGAATCTTTACATTGCAGAGAAGCCTAAGTCGGGTGGATCAGGCACGCAGAAGGAGAGGAGAAACATGCCTAACGGCATCATGTTCGTGCACTATGCATGCTATGTGAAAGCCGGCATGTGGCATCCCCAGTACTTCGTGCGATCCCAGCGATACTCTGTGGCCTGTGCCACAGGGATCCTTACGGAGTCCACGATTTACACGAAGCTCAAGGAGGACGACATCAAGCAGTACGAGCTCTCGTCTTGCGTGGCTGAAGAGGACTATCAAGACCTGGATGAGAAGAAGAGAGAGATCCCGCTGCTCAAGGACATGAAGAACACGAGTGATATCGTCGATTTTCTCGTCGATGACGCCTTCGACACCATGACAAATGCCGACATCGACTCCCTCTTTCATGAGGGGGGCCTCCTCGTTGTCAACCTTCTCGGTGGCGCCGTCATGAGAGTCTCCAGTCACCATGGCAAACTCTGGAAGAGTCCCGCCGTCCCGGTCAGCAGGTATACTTTCGCCGTGGCTGCCAAGAAATGAAGATCCTTACGCCTCACTCTAGGCCAACTCAGCCACCGCCCCGCACCAACCATTCACCTGAACAGTGCAGCGCTGGAGCAAAACGATCCAGGGATCAGTGCGTGAGAGTAACTGCGAGAGTGAGCATGGCGTCTGCAATCTACCAACCCTACGAACAGTGTTTACTCGTGGTCAAGCCAACAGCCTCCCTAGAAGTGAGGAACCCGACCTCACGCACTTTTTGGTGGTGGTCATGTACGCCTGAGAAGGAGGATCCAAGCTGTAGTGATTGTAGTGATCGCGTCCGCAGTAGATTTGATGGTCTTAGGCAGTCTTCTGTGCTGTGCTCTTGAAGTGCAGAGAGTCCTGTCTTATTGGCCGTCTTCGCGCAAAGCCATGGCTCAAGCTCCAAAGCAAGTCTTCAAGTCATTTTCCACCTGGACGGGCCCTGTTTGGTAGGCATTGCTGCTGCACTGGATAGGTCTCGCCTTGCAGCTCGTATTTCGAGGGAATCTCAACGTTGTGTAGAGGATGGTTTCAAATGACGCCATCGCATCCACAGCACAGAGGTCAGAGCCGCTCGTTGAGCATGAAAATTCAGATGTAATCGAGGACAATTTCTACAAAAAAGAGATCAAGACAATGTGCAGCGTGGGTTGGCCGATGCTTATCAGCTTTTTCTGTCGATTCGGTATGGCTTCTGAAGACTCTGCCTTCGTGGGACACATTACATCTGGAACGGCGAATTTGCTCAAAACCGGACCTACTGTTCTTAGGAATGGCGTCGTTTGGAATATGGGAGCCGCTTTGCTTGGCTACGGTTTCCTAGCAATAAAGGGCACCCATGAAGGCTCAGTAGGCCCTGGACCCGTTGATTACTTGGCAGCTGCTGGGCTATCTGACATGGTGACAAACATCCTGATCATTCCGCCGTTGGCCTTTAACCAAAGCCTCAATGCGCTTGTCAGCCAGGCTATGGGATCTGGCAACAAGAAGATGGCGGGCACTTGGCTGCAGCTTTCCTTGATTTGGTTGACCCTTGGCTACGGAGTGACATTACTTTCGTTTTTCTTTGTCTCACCCATGCTGAAGCTTCTTGGCTTCCCCGAAAATGTTTGTGAACTTGCCGGGATGTACGCGAAGTACAACATCTTCTGGCCGATCCCAAATGGTTGGTACCAGAGCATGCGCTTCTACTTCCAGGCGCAGGGCATCACGAAGCCAGCCATGTACAACAACATCATCTTCCTGGCTATAAATGCATTGCTGAACTGGATTTTCGTCTTCGGCGGACCTTTCAGGGCCTTTGGATGGTATGGTTTTGGATTCATTGGGGCGGCGCTCTCGCTGAGCTGTTCCAGAACCTTGCAGCCACTGGCATACTGGCTCTACATGTTCTGGTGGCGAAAGGCCCACCTCGACACTTGGCCATCGTGGTCCCAGAAGACCTACCTGACAAAGGAGAACGTGAAGAATTTTATGGCCATGTCTTTGCCACAGATGGGAACGCTGATTTTTCAAGCGTTTGTTGGCCAAGCCACCACTCTGATGATCGCAAAGTTGGGAGAAGAGGCGGTTGCGGCCAGCTCGGCTGCGGCCGCTGCAACGATGGTCGTTACAGGCGGCCTCTCTCCCACACTTTCGATGGTTGGAGGCATGCGCGTTGGATACTATTTGGGTAGGGGGCAGGGGCAGCATGCCAAGAGGGTTGGGATGCTGGCACTGCTACTTGGGGCTATGATGCCAGCAGTCATTGCCGCTATTTAC